CTGGAGTGGCCCAGGACCTTCCCCCAGGACCTGTGGTAGATGGTGTAGTCCAGGGCTTCCCCCCAAGGTCTATGATGGCTGGAGTGGCCCAGGGCTTCCCCCCAGGGTCTATGGTGGCAGGTGAGGTGGCCTCCAGGAGGGGGGCAGCACCTGGCCCTAGTAGGGGGAAGCCCTGCCTCTCCGGAGAAGGATTCCTGTCCCCAAGGCTGCCCCCAGCTTCAGAGGCAAGTGCACTGGTGCCACACGCACCCCTGGGTTCCATGCCCATGTGTGGGAGTTCTAAAGCTTCCCCAGGGTCCCTGGTTGTAGGACTGTCTCCCCGTCCTTTCCATCGGGGCCTTGATGGAAATGCCCCTGCAGGCCCCTCCCAGGACTTTGGTGCTGCTAGCTTGGCCCGAGCTCATCCTCCGGCCCAGGCCACGAGTCATACAGCCAGGGGGTTCCGAGTGCCCAAGGCCCTGTCGAGGGCATCCTGGTTTGGCCGGGACCCTGGGAGGAGGACGTCTGAGGCCCTAGGTGACCAGGCCACACTGAGGCCAGGAGCGGCCTGGGAGAGTGTGTCCCAGGCATCAGGGTCTAGCCGAGAGCCCAGCCCATCGAGGCTCATGGAGGCCACAGCATGGATGCAGGATGGTGCCCTGTGGGCAGGTGTGACTTGTGACCACAGGCCCCTATTTGTGGAGAGGAGGCTGCCCAGAGACCAAAAGCCACTGTGCAGGGAGGTGGCTCCTGGCCAATCCTGCGGCTTGGTTCAGGCCCCTGGGCAGGCCCCAATGTTAGCCAGGAGCCTCATAGCCAGTGATACCACCCCTGTTCTCCAGCCAACGTCAATGGGCAGTTGGGGCCCCACTGGGGCCTGCCTTGAAGCTGCTAGCTGGGTCCCTGGTGTGCAGGCAGGCTCTGTAGTGGATGGGGCCATGCAGCAGCCCCTGGCTCCCGGGAGCACTGTGGGCCCCTACGCGGTTCAGCCTGCCTACGCGGTTCAGCCTGAGTCCATGGCCCTCACTGGAGTCAGATGCTGCTCCCAGGGGACTGTGGCAGCCAATGCAATCTCACGGTCGTCCCAGATGGCCCCAGGCAGTCTGCCCCTGGGGTCTGTAGCCAGGATGGGAAGCCCCAGTCCTCCTCGGAGGTTGGCAGCTGCCAGCGTGATCCCCTGCGTACAGCCATATGGGCCTAAACCCGCAAGCCCAGCTCTGTCCCGGGGGGAAGCTGCCTCCTGGGCACCGTGGAAGCCAACATCCCCGGCCCGGGCCCGGAGCAGCAGCCCCCCGTTCCCCAGCACGAGAAAATCCTTCCCATCCCGTGGGGGCAGCCTGGTCCCGGAACTGCTAGAAGGCTCTGCAGTAAGGCTCGGGCCCCCACAGTGGGCACAGGTGCCCTTGCCCAGGTCCTCACCCTGTGGCCCCAGACTCACCACAGGCCTGCTGTCCACGGGTGTGGCAAAAGACGTGGATGTCCCTACACCATTCCCAGGAGGTCATCAGGCGTCTCTGGGCTATGAGTCTTCACTGATGGCACCCCAGTGGCCCCCATCAGACCAGTCCTCCCAGTATTTTATGGGCTCCACGGCTCATCATCACAAGCTGTCCCTGGCCCCTGGTGTCCCCCAGGGCTTGCTCCCCCAGCATTTCATGGGCCCCACTATGAGCCACCACAAGCCATCCCTGACCACTGGTGTCCCCCAGGGTCCTGTGGACACCAGCACACGTGGTGGCCGGCCGTGGACCTCCGCTGTGCCCAGTGTGGCAGTGAGGCCCCTGGACCATGCTGTGGCCCCCCACACCCCACGCCAGCCGGCCAGGGTCCTGAGGCCGTGGGACCACGTAGGCCCCACGGCCGTGTCGATGCAGCACGTGGAGAAGATCTTCGTCTGGGCCGCGACTGTCATCCAGGCATGCGCCCGCGGCTACCTGGTGCGCCGCACCATCAAGGTGTGGCATCAGAGGGCCAACGTCATCCAGGCCACCTGGCGTGGCCACTGTGTGCGACGCAACCTGGCACAGCTCTACAGAGCCACCATAGTCATCCAGGCCGCGTGGCGAGGCCACTGTGTCCGCCGGGCGCGTGCTCAGCACATGCAGCTCCCGCCTGCTTGGACAGAGCCAGGCGGGGAGACCAAGGCGGCCACCGAGCACCGCTGCTTCCAGTCCTGCCAGCCTCGCGCCTGCAGCCTGTGCCGGTCATTGAGCCCCAGCCTGGGCAGCCCGCCCAGTGTGGTGATGCTCGTGGGTGCCAGCCCTCGCACCTGCCACACCTGCGGCCACACGCTTCCCACGCGGGTGGTACATGGCACAGGCCGGGCCTGCGCCTCCCACCCAGCTCCCCAGCACCCAGCTCCCCAGCGCCTGCAGCAGCCATGGGATGGAGCTGCCACCACGATCCAGTCTGCCTGGAGGGGCTTCAGGGTTCGCCGCCAGCTGAGGGAGCAGCATTCCGCAGCCAGGATGCTGCAGGCCACCTGGCGGGGCCACTACACGAGGAGCTGCCTCACCCCCGAGGCGCTCCTGGGGACAGGAAGCCCATGGGACAGTGCCCCCGGGGCTCCACGCCAAGCCTCACGGCAGCCCTTACGCCGGACTGGTGTCTAGGACTCTGGCCAGTAGGAGCGGGCTAGGGGCACTCTGGGTTGTGCAAATAAAGTCACCCAGCCTGAGCCTGGTGTCCTGTGCTCTGAATGAAGAGGGTGTGTGGGGGGTGGGAGCTGGGTGGTCTGTGTGAGGACCTCAACGTGCTGTTTGTACCTCTGTGCCTGTAGCTAGCATTGGGACCCTGGTTCCCCAGAGGTTAGGGACTGCCGGCGGGGCATCTCAGGCTGGTTTCCTCCCATGGCTGAGGTCACTCCCAGTGCACCCCATGAGCTCTCATCTGGCCCTGCACGGTAGCACATGCCTATGATTCCAGCTACTCAGGAGGCTGAGGCAGGAGGATCGTGAGACCCTGTCTCAAAGGGGAATAAAGGGCTGGGGCTGTAATGCACATGGAGCATTTGTGAGCATGTGGGAGGCCTAGGGTTCCATAAAACCCAAACCCCAAACCCCAAACCCCAAAGTCTCACTTTTGGGGACCTGGTCCAGAGCAATTTCTGGTGAGGGTATTGGGCTCATCCCCAAGGTCTCCCAGTCTGGGGTGACTCAAAAGGGGGCAAAGATGTCCCAAGCCTTCCTCGGGTCAGGAATGAGGGAGAGGAAGAAGGGGTGAGGGTTGGGGTCTCCAGAGTGGACATTGTGGGTTTGGGGCTCCGGAGTCCTGGCGCTGTGGGGTGTTCAGGTCAGGTAGGGGTTCCTGAGGCCCCACCTGGGCCGCACAGTACCTCGGGCCACCAGCAGGGGGCGCGCACAGGCGCACCTGGCTGTTCACCTGGCCTCATACCTAGCCGAACACCTGGCCCGGTGGGCAGTGGCGACCTGGGCCCTCCCTGCACAGGAATGGAGACATCGCCTTGGCGACGGCTGCTGTTGATCCTAACCCTGTTCCTGGTGTTGAAATCCTCTGGGACCAATTTCCCGAGCAATGGAGGTAAGCACAGGTAAGAGGGAGCCTGAGGTATCCCAGGTTTCCAGGAAGCCCAGGGAGACGAGTGGGGCCAGGAGCCCTGGGCACCACCTGCCTGACCCTGGTAACCCCCTTGGGCCACACCTGGGGGAGGTCATTGTTTCCCCAGATCTGGACGGGGTGTGATGGCCTCTGTCCTCAAGCCCGGGGGTGACTCCCTGGCCCTGTCCTGGGCTCCAGGCTCCCACTCAGCTCCCTGAGCTCTGCAGGAACTTCTTCTCGGTGTCTGCCTCAATTCCCTCCTGCCGCTCCTTCAGACTGTGCCAGGCCCGGGCCAGAGGGGGCTTCCTGGACGCCCTCCCCAGCTCCCCACTGCCCATCTGGCGTGGCCATGTCCTGTCCTAGCCCTGAATTTGCCACGACAGCAAGGGACACCATGGGCAGGGGCTGGTTTCATTCTGAGGTGACTATGTCCGCCCTGATTCGATGGCTCAGGAGGCCAAGGCTCGGCACCCCTCCTGCTTGGCTTGCCCTGGCTTCCTTTAAGCAGTTGTGGAGGAGCCAGAGCGTGGTACCCTGCCTAGAAAGGGCTGCAGTCCTTTGCCCACGGCCCCTGCACACCCTGTCCCCTCCTGCAGCCCACTGGTTGACTTAGGGGCTTCCCTGGCTGGTGCCCTGGGTGCCAGCCTGGCTTGGCTCCTGCACTCTAGTGTCACCTTTCCGGTCATCTGGGTCAAACTCTGCCTTGGTTCCACGGGTGTACAACGAGGGTGCACTGCCACCCCTGGCCGGGTGAGGGCTGTGGGGGCGGGGCAGCACCCACAGGGCCAGTGCAAAGGTTAGTTCCGCGTTTCTGTGCCCAGGGTGAGGCAGGAAGAGGCACTGAGTTGTGCCGGGCAGAGGACCGGGTGGGGCTACAGCAGCTGAGGAACTCCTGGTGGCTGCGGGGCTCGGCCACCCAGAACCTTCAGGAAGTCCTGGTGGGCCCAGTCCTGCGCTGCCCGCTCCCCTCAGCTGGGCTAGGCTCTGCCCTGGGGTTGGTGGGAGCCAGCAGTGCATGAGGCGAGGGTCCTCGGGGTGCCGTGGCTGGCGAATGCTGGCCTGGCCTGTGCCTGTGCCAGACCCGGTTCCACTCAACACTGTGAAAGTGAACCAGGGGCTGGCCTGATAGCTCAGTGGACTAAAGTGGCTGCTTATGCAGACGCAGGGACTGGGTTTGATTCCTGGCATCCCATGCTGACCCTGCCCCCAAGGTGCACGTGTGATCCCAGTGTTTGGGAGGCTGAGACAGGAGGTTTACTATGAGTCTAATCTATCTAGTGAGACCCTGTAGACCCAGTACTAAATACATAAATTACATTAAAAGTGAAGCACGGGGCTGGTGAGATGGCTCAGTGGTCTAAAGCACCTACTTGGAACAAGCTTAGCAAAGCACAGGGACCGCGGTTCAAGCCCCCAGCACCACATGCCAGCCAGCCCCGCCCCCTGGTGGGCTGAGCTGGCCACACACACACACACACACACACACACACACACACACACACACACACACACACACACACACACACACACACACACACACACACGAATAAAAATTAAAAAAAAAAAAGTGAAGCAAAACCAAACCTTGAGAAACTGGGCGTAGTGACACATGCCTATCCTGGAAGCTAAGGCAGGAGGGCGAGCCCCGCCTGGGCAACTTAGTGACTTACTGAGACCCTGTTCCAAAATTTATTTTTCCTGTCTCAAAATTAAAAAAAAAAACAAAACAAAAAACAAAAAACAAGCTGAGTGTGAAAGGAAATTGAGTCTCCCAAGGTCTAAGTGTCATTCATCATTGTGCCTGGTTGTGGTCCCTGATCCAAAGGGCTTCCAGGTTTGAAAACACGAGTAGGGGCTGGGAAGGACTGAGCCAGGCTCACAAGCCGGAGGTGCGGACTGTGGAGGGTGCCTTGGCTTCCCACTGAGCACCTGGGTTCTCTGAGGTGCTTGCGCTCCCTAAGAGCTGGACATTGTTTTGCTTTCTCTTAATTTATTTATTTATTTTTAAAATTTTATTTATTTATGTGGGGGGGGCGCCAGCTCTGCCCACCTAGGGGCAGGGCTAGCTGGCATGTGGTGCTGGGGGATTGAACCGCGGTCCCTGTGCTTTGCTAAGCTTGTTCTAAGTAGGTGCTTTAGACCACTGAGCCATCTCACCAGCCCTAAGCTTGTTCTAAGTAGGTGCTTTAGACCACTGAGCCATCTCACCAGCCCTAAGCTTGTTCTAAGTAGGTGCTTTAGACCACTGAGCCATCTCACCAGCCCTAAGCTTGTTCTAAGTAGGTGCTTTAGACCACTGAGCCATCTCACCAGCCCTTGCTTTCTCTTAAAATTGAGAGATTGGGCTGGGGAGATAGCTCAATGGTCTAAGCCCCTGTCTTGGAAGCACAAGGACCTGAGTTTGATCCCCAGTACACATGCCATACCAGCCCTAAAACCAGGTGTGGTGGTGCACACCTGTAGTCCCAGCACTGGGGAGGCTGAGACAGGACAATCACTATGCATCTGAGCTGTGTAGTGAGACCCTGTATCAAATAATCTTTTTTTTTTTTAAATTGAGAGATGGGGGCTGGGAAGATAGCTGAGGAGAATAAGCACTTGCCTGGCAAGTGCCAGGGCCTGAGTTCAATCCTTGGTTCCACCAAAAAAAAAAAAAAAAAAAAAAAAAAACAAGAAAAAAGAAAAAAGAAACAGAGTCTCACTGTATAGCCCAGGCTGTCCTCAAACTCGTTGTGATCCTCCTGCCTCAGCCTCTCCAGGACTGGGATAACAGGTTTGCCCCTCCATGCCCCTTGGTGCTGCTGGGTCAGGACCCAGAGCCAGCGCATACGCAGTGCACCGTGGCCTGAGCAGCCCCCCCCATCTCCACTGAGGCTGCCAGCCCATCCCAGGTCCCCACAGCCCCGCCCGCCCCTCCCCAGCACGTTCAGGGACTGCCTCTGGCATCCCGCGCCCCATGACAGTCACCTACTCTGGCTCAGAGTTCTCAAGTTCATTGTTCATTCCAGTGTCCGACTCCGCATCACCGATCTCTCCCTGGATCCCCCTGTCCTCCGTGCCCACCCTAGGTAAGCCGGTAGAGGTCCTGGGTGTGGGTCCACACAGCTGGTCGGAACTGCAGCTCTGACCTTTTCCTTCTTTCCAGAAACTACTACAGCAACAGAGACCTCATTCACCAGCCCTACGATTTCTTCCTCCTACTCCAGCTTCTCAAGTCCTGGGGACACCTCCACCCCTCAGTCCAGCTCCCCAGGCACTGAGGCTGCCAGCCCATCCCAGGTCCCCACAGCCCAGCCCAGCCCTTCCCCAGCAGGTTCTGGGACTGCCTCTGGCATCCCGTACCCCACGACAGTCACCCACTCTGGCTCAGAGTTCTCGAGCTCAGCGTTCACTCCAGTGTCCGACTCCGCATCCCCGATCCCGCCCTGGATCCCCCCGTCCTCCGTGCCCGCCCTAGGTAAGCGGGTAGAGGTCCTGGGTGTGGGGATGCGGCGACTGCCATACCAGGCTGCAGTTCTTACCGTGGCCACCAGGGGTCAACGCCGGCCCAGCCCCGAGGGGCTCCAGCCTTAGATCTGAGATGTAATTTTACTTTTTAATATATTTTTTAATTTTTAATTTTCACTTTTATAGACTAATTTTGTTTTTTATATGTATTTATTTTGGTGCTTTAGAGACAGGGTCTCTATACAGTCGAGGCGGGCATCGACCTCAAAGCGATCCTCCTGCCTCAGGCTTCTGGGTCCTGGGGTGCAGGCGAGCGCCACCATGTCCAGCCCAGGCTGCGAATGCCTGGTGTGTGTTAGGCCCAGCTGGCTGCCAGCGGCAGAGGCGGTGACACCGTGTGCAGAGAGGTTGTAAATTACGTATTTCGAGCCGGGCCTGGTGGTGCACACCTGAAAGCCCAGCGCTTGGGAGACTGAGACAGGATTGCTTTAGGGAGTCTGCGCCTCAGGGCTGACAGGGCATCTTCGCCATTCCCAGGGGACACGCAGACCCGCGTGTCACACCGAAACCCCGGCGTGGTGGTAGCCGTGTGTCTGCTGGTGTCCCTGGTGCTCATTGGGTCCGTGTTGCTAGTCGTGAGACGCCGCCACCGCGACACGTCTGAGTTCCTCGTGTTGGACGAGGTGTCCATGGTGAGCCGGGCTGGCTGGACGGGGGCGCTGCCTTCCCGCGTGGCCTGAGCGCTCCTCTGTGTCCCTTCCGCAGGATGGCTTGAGCCGACGGCTGTCCATCACCCCACTGCCCCCCGAGTAACCACGGCTGGGCTGGGAGATACAAAGGTTTCAAGCTGGGCACCCCGGATGGCTTGGCCGAGGCCCGCAGCTGGCATCACTGGCGCGGGGGAGATGGGCGGAGCTGCGCCCTGGCTCCTCTTCTCCGGAGGCTGAGGCAGGAGGGTTGTGTGAGCCTAGCAGTTCAAGACCAACCTGGGCCACATAGCAAGACTCTATCCAACGAGAATGAATGAACAAATAAATGCATTCCCAAGTGTTCAGTTGAGGCCGCTTGTGTGGTGGATTCCCGCGAGCCGCATTCATCGTGGGCCGACTGAATGCCCATTCTCTGTGGCTGGCATGGTGGACCCAGTGTCCATGACCCCAGGGGCCAGTGCAGTCAGGGCAGGGAGCTGAGAGCCAGCACTGTGGGGAAGCTGTTCAGATGCACTAGGGCCACCAGCATGGGATGGGCACCCCGACCCCCCCCCAGGCGCGTGCAGAGGAGGCCCAGGAGCCGGCCTGTGAGGTGGGAGGGATGGGCAGGGGCTCCAGGGAGTGGGCGCTGTGTGTGCGAGGGCCCTGGGGCGGGACTATGGCGGTGACAGAACCGTGCCGTGCCACTGAGAGGGCCACAGGGCTGAGGTGGGGCTCTGTTCCAGGAGGGGACTCCCAGGGAGTCGCCCGTGGGCCAAGATCAGAGGTAGAGATTTTGGCAAGATGGCCCCTGGCCAGGGAGCAGGGCATGTCCTTTGGGATGAAGGGCAGGAGGCTGGAAGCTGCGTGCCCTGCCTCTGGGCAGAGGGTACCCTTGCTGCCCAGGAGGGCTGGGCTGGGGACAGGGAGGAGGGCAGCTGGCACTGCCCTCCCTGCCTGGGATGTGAGGCCATCGCAGGCCCCAAAGCCCTGGTCACGCTGTGCTGATCTCGTGGGCCAGGTGGTGCACTGCGAGTGACACATTAACTAGAGACTTCTGGAGACATGACATCCCTGCCCCCCACCTCGTCCTGGGGTCCAGGCTCCTGCTGCAGGCCCCCGCCTCCAGCTCGGTGACAAGGTTGGACCAGAGAGGGTTGTCAACCTGCCTAGCTGGCACAGCCCCGAGGCCGGCTTTCCTTTCCTGGAGCCCCAGGGCCATCCCAGATTCCTGAGGCTGTTTGGTTTGTCTGGGGCTCTGCTCAGAGCGCAGGTGCCCAGCGGCCTCTCCCTCCCCCGCTCCTCTCTCCATCCCCTCTCCCACCTCCTCCCATCCCACCCCTCCCACTCCACCCTTCCCTCCCCCATGTCACTCATTAACACTGCCTCTCTCAACTGCCCAGGTTCTTGGGCAGATCCGGAGTCCTTTGTCAGAGGGGGGGACCCTAAGAGACCTCTTGGCTCTCAGCCTAACTCCCCTCCAGTACTAGGGAGGTCACAGGACATGGCAGGGGACAACAGTGACAGCAGGGGAGGCCAAACCTGCCCGCCCACCTCATGAGCTGGTGAGAGTTTGGGGGTCTTGGGGGGGGCTGCATGCCTCCCCTGGGGCCTGGACCTGGGAGCCCCTCAGAGGAACCCGCCGGGGTGGGAAGCAGCCCAGGCTTGGGAGCCCCTGTCCCCGGCCTTGCCCAGGCTCCTGAGCGAGGGGTCTGGGCCTCCAGGGCTGTGGGAGCTCCCTTCCGGGGCCCCCAGAGTCTCACAGCCTCTCCCCCAGGGGCCATGCTACCAAGATGAGGCGCAGCAAGACATCACTGTCCTTCCTGCTGAGCGAGGTGAGCAAGGGGAACTCCCAGCTGCCTGGAGGCCAGCTTAGGGGGAACTGAGGCCCATAGAGCAGGAGTGTGTGTGTGTGCTGTAGGGACCTGTCTGGGACCATGGCCACCACGTCTGGTGGGAGGGGCGGGATCAGGATTCTGACCCGGAAAGGTCATTGCCTGGCCCGGCTCTGGGCACAGAGAGCCTCAGACCGCATCTTCAGGGCAGGGCCTTTGGCTCCAGGAGGGAAACTAAGGCAGGAGGAAAGGACAGTAGCAAGCAGAGGACTTAGGAAGGGGGTCGTGACACCTGCATGGCTAGTAGCACCTCTGAGAGGCACGCTCCTGTGGAAAATGACAAAAGGTAGCCTTATGCAGCGGGGCACACCTGTGATCCCAGCACTCCGGGAGGCTGAGGCAGGAGGACCCGAAGTGTGAGCCCGGCCTGGCAACTTGGGCACTCAGCGAGAGCCTGTTTTAGATACTTTTCTCCTGGATGAGCCAAAAATAGCTGATACTCAAAGGAGGAAAGGTTCATTTGCCTCAGGCTGCGTGGAAGTTAGCGTGTGCCCTCGGCTGGCTCCACAGCCCGAGAACAGAGACCACTTCCTGACACCACAGTATACTGAAGGAGGCAAGGGAGGGAGACAGGACTCCTCTGTCCCCTATGTGGCACAAAGTCACATGTGAACTGCCCTGTGTGGATTCTTATGTGTTTGAGACAGAGCCTGGCTATCTAGCCCAGGCTGGTCTTGAACTTGAAGGGACCCTCCTGCCCGGCCTCACAGGTGCTGGCCCGCAGGCAGGCCTACGGCTCCACCCTGCTCTCGACATTTGCTCAATGGCTGCACGCATGTGCTGCGGGGAGCACGTTCCTAGGGAGCAGAGGGCCAGGATCTGGGGCAGGGCAGTCGACTGGCTCCCCTGGCTGGCACAGCGCGTGGCCCACGCCCACGGCCATGCCCTCCGCCTGCTGGGAATGCTCCCCCAGGAGACACAGGCCGTACCGTAGAGTAGGTTCTGAGCAGGTTCCTGCCTGAGCACTCTGGGACCCTGCGACCGGGTAGGGAGAGTTGGGTTTAAGCAACCACTTTGAGCCAGTTCGGAAGAACATCTGGGCCTGGTTCTGGCCTGAAGGCGAGGGCCAGAAACATCTGGCCCTCAATTTCCCCATTTGGAGTTCAGTCTGGTGAGGACAGACTCCTGAGCATGGCCCCTTCTGAGCTCCACCTCTCCCGTGTCTATGTGTGTCCCCTCTGGTCCCTGGCACACTCTGCCTCCCAAGGTTTTTTTTTTTTTAACATTTATTTACGTGTGTGTGTGTGTGTGTGTGTGTGTGTGTGTGTGTGTCCAGCTCAGCTCACCAGGGGGCGCGGCTGGCTGGCATGTGGTGCTGGGGGATCGAACCGCAGTCCCTGTGCTTTGCCAAGCTTGTTCCAAGTAGGTGCTTTAGACCACTGAGCCATCTCTCCAGCCCCTCTCCCAAGGTTCTGAGTTCCAATTTCCTGCCCTGAACTACTGGGGTCAGCACTGTGGACAGGTCCCCTTCTTGCCTTCACTGTGTAGCCCAGGCTGGTCTGGAACTCAAAAAAGATCCTCTTAGGGCCAGGGAGATGGCTCAGTAGGATAAGAGCTTCCCTGGCAAGCGCAAGGGCCTGAATTCAATCTCCAGTCCTGGAAAAAAAAAAAAAAAAAAAGATTCTCTTGCTTCAGCCTCCCGAGTACTGGGATCCCAGGAGTGTCCCTCTTCCCCTTGTCTGGTATTTTGTTTTTGAGACAGCCTTTCACTGTGCAGTCCAGGCTGGCCATGAACTAACTCATGGGGAGTCTCCTGTCTCAGCCTCCCAGGCACTGGGAGGTGAGGTGTGTACCATCACCCCAAACTTGATTTTTTAATTTTTTTTTCCAAACTTGATTTTCATATTGAGACAAAAACTTTACTAAGTTAACCAAGCTGGGCCTGAACTTGTGGCCCTTTGGCTCTGCCTCCAAAGCAGCTAAGGTGGTAGGGGCCGCAGCCCTGTCATTTGCAGTGTGCATGGTTAGGATCTGAGCGTCGTAGAGCACAGGGGGTGTGATACTCACTGAACATTCTATGCGGGAAGTAAGTGACAGATACTCCCCCAGTGCCCCTCCCCCACAGGCACTGCCACATCTGTCTCCCCCACCCCCCGCGTGGTGGCGCACACTGCCATCCCAGCCCTAAGGAAGCTGAGCCAGGAGGCTTGCTGTGAGTCTGAGGTACACAGAAAGCCTCTCTCAAAAAATTAGAACCTGAGGCTGAGGTCGGCACCCCTCTCCCCAGAAGAAGACAGCGGGGTTTGGAGTGCAGGACGGAGTAGGATAGGGACAAGAGGGACCCAGCCCTGGAACTCACCCCGCCCTCTCCCTGTGTCTCCCAGAGGGTCCGGGAGCCTGCGGACTTGGGTTTAGCCTCTGTGAGTCCCCCCAGGGTCGGTGTCATTCAGAGGCACTTCTCAGGGAGCCTGCTGCTGCCCCCGCTGTGGAGCCACCCAGGAGCCCCTGGGGAGGTGGAGACCAGCGCCCCTGTGGTGTTCACCCTCGGAGCCCGTGGGACGGACAGAAGCCAGGGCTTGGCACCAGGCAGGTGAGGAGGATGGCAGGTGCTGAAGGCTGTCAGCCGGCGGGCACAGGGAAGGGTGAGCCCCGCAGGTGGAACAGAGTTGTGGAGCCCAGAGGCCCCAGCAACCCAGGGGCTGGAACCCTCCGGGTGGTGGAAGGATGGCTGGGGGCTGGGTGGGGCAGAGGATGGAGCACCCGAACTGTGGGGCCCAGGTATGGGCATGGGGAGGATGGGGACACACCAGGGCCCCAGAGGGACCCTGAGGCAGGGTCCAGGTAGGTGTTCCTGGACTGGTAGGAGCCCAGGGCTGCACCAGGGTCTAAGAATGCAGGAACTGAGCAAGGGGCACTTCTGTCATGGGGCTGCCAGCAGAGTGAGATGGAGGGTGGTTGCAGGTGCCCGGATCCGAGGGCCTACAAATGCCATTGGTGCACCACCATCACTTAGGATCCTCCTGCCTCAGCCTCCCAGAGTGCTGGGATAGCAGGTGTGACACACCCATCAGGGGAGGCCCTTCGTATGCACCCCATGGCATGCCTCCGTGTGAAGTACAATACAGCTTTGGGCTGACCTGGGAAAATCCCAGGCCCACAACTGCCCCACCCTGAGGCAGCCCCTAATGTCCTCCTGCCCCACCCAGAGCCTCGGAGACAACAAGTCCTAGCTCTTCTCACCCCACACCCACACCCCAGCCCGCAGGCCATGACCACTGCTGTTCCGGCGGTGGAAAATGTTCTCTACTTCCCGGGAGCCCCCTGAGACTCCAGGGCGTAGGTGGAGCCTGGCTGTGATGGGGGGGCTGGGGGGTAGCATGGGCTCGAGGGACCAATGTGCTCCTGCCTTTTCCGTGGACCATCTGAGCCTGGGAGCCTATAAATTTCGGGGTTCTGGGTGCTACCGCCGCTTCCCTGGGTTCCAACGGGAGAAAGGTGGGTATCTAACCGCGCGCCCCTCCTTGCGTGCTGGCTGTGGAGTGGGGGAAACTGAGTTCCCCTCTCCACCTGGCCCCAGGATTTCCCCTGGTGCCGCCCAAGATCCCTGTTCTCTGGGACCACTGCCTCGAGTCAAAGGGCGTTTAGGGCCCTCCTAAGTGGGGCGGATATGCCGCCACCGGTCTGGTCTGCGGGGACCCAACCCAGACCTCGCCGGGACGCTGTCACTGGCGAAGATTTCGGGGAGCCCCTTGGAAACCCGGTATCAGCACCACGGGGCGAGGACAGCTCCTCACCCCGGGTCACCCGGGCCAGTGCGCTGCCTGCTTTCAGCACCTCCAGGGGGACAGCGCCTGGGGACACTGCTTGTCCCTGTCGTGACCCCCACCTAGCCCTAAAGACGACAAAGAGGTGGTAGGGCCCCAGATCCCCGCCCTGACCTCCCGTTGCCCTGCAGCTCTGCGCCAGTCCCCCATGGCTCCCACTCATGTCCCCTCCCCGATCGGTCGTTGGCTCCCGGGATAGTTCGGGATCGCAGGGGACAGCCTGGCTATGGCCGCCCCCGAGGGCGCGGACGGCGCGGAGGTCTCCAGCAGACTGGGCCAGGCGCGCGGCCGCCAGGGCTCACCCAGGCCCCCGAAGCACCTGTGGCGCCAGCCCCGGCGCCCCATCCGCATCCAGCAGCGCCGCCACTCCGACCCCGACAACCCTTTGGGCTGCTGCGACCCTGCCCGGAGCACGCGGCCGGGGCTTGGGACCACGCAGCGCTCCTGGCCCACCTCCTTCCGGCAGCGGTAGGTGGGCGGGGCCTGACGGTGCTGGGCGGGGGCTTCGTCTGATGGGCGGGACCTGGCATGCAGGGTGGGGGCCCTGGCAGTAGGGCGGGGCCTTATCAAGAGGCGGGATTGGTCAGGGTTTTGATAGTGGGCGGGACCACTGTTGGTGGGCGGGCAGTGGGTGGGCCTGGAGGGCAAGGGTCCTGGCTACTAGGCACAGTAGCTCTCTAGGTGAAAGCCATGCGCCTATCCTTGTGTGTTGGTGCTGCCTGTAACACCAACACTAGGAGGCTGAGGCAGGAGAATCATGAGCTCGAGATCAGCCTGGGCTACAAAGTGAGCTCAAGGTCAGCCTGAGCTACATAGTGAGACCCTGTCTCAAAGAGATAAAAAAAAAACCAAACCAACCCAAGAACCCAGAGACAGCAAAGACAGAGATGGGTAATAGTGTCCCTGTGGCTGGGTGGGAGCACAGACCAAGGAGGAGTGTCCAGCAACCGACAGCAGGCTGGAGGAGGGGCCTTCAGGCTACACCAGGCCCCAGGTTCCTGCCCAGCCTGGGTGACAAGTGAATGGCTCCTCTCAGATCTCTTTCACCTTGGGTGTGGGCCCACCCGGGACTACTGGTTTCTCACTTGATCAAACCTGGCTTGTTACCCGTGTCAGGCCCCAGGGAGGATCCAGGCATCTGGGCCCCAGAGGGAGCTGTGGTGCTGTCCCCAGGTGCCGCAGGCTCTGGCCCCTCCCCTAAACTCCTGGTGACTCAGGATTTTCCGTTTTCAAGAAGGAAAAAACAGACTGGGCTGGGCGCGCTGGGGAGGCCTGAGTGAGCTTGGGAAGGCAGGCATGGTAGGGCTGCTTTGTGCCAGACCAGTGCTGAGGCCAGTGTGTGGTGGACCTCCGGGGGAACCCTGGGAAAGCCGAGGCCAAGACCAAGTGTGGGGCTCAGCCTGGAGGTTGGAAGAGGTGGGCTGGGAGTACAGGGAAGGGTGTGCCAAGGAGGAGAAACAGAATGTGTACAGCCTCAGGCTGGGAGGAGGGGTGTGCTGTGGGAGGGGGGAAGAGGGAGTCCTGCACACTTAGGGAGCTGGAGGAAAGGGTGGGGAGTAGGAGTCCACGGCCCCAGGGAAGTGTCATTCAGATTCAAGGATAGCAGATCCCATCCCCAGCACTCTCTTCCCATAAAAGAAAGAAAGGGACCCAAGGTGCCACTCTCCCTTCTCTCTGGAGCCTCCCAGTAGCTGAGGAGAAAAGAGCCTGCCCAGAGAAAGAACAGTCAAAACGGGGAAGTCAGGGCAGGGCGCAGGGCTGTGCAGGAACGCAAGGGCAGAGTTGGAGTGGGGTCTGCGTCCCCCCTTTCAGCTCTGCCCCCCTCCCTGCTGGGCTGGGCCCTCCCAAGTGCCGAATGCCAGGCTGCACGCACCGTGTCCTGGCTCTGGCCTCCCTTCTCTGTGGCTGTTGCTCTAGCACTCTATCATCAAAGTTACTAATCACTTTGTACAGTTGAGACTCTCAATGAAATATTTTAAATGCGATCTCCTAATAAAACACTAAGACCAATAAATAAATAAATAAAACACTAAGACCACAGCAACTACCAAAGCACCAAGCAGCTCAGGCTCGGGGCCTGCGGAGGGCAAAGAGCCAGGGCCCAGCTGAAGCGGGCGGCCGGGCTCAGGGAGCTGTCCTGCAGGCCCTGCTGCGGGGCCCTGGGCTGGTCTACCTCAGCCGGGTGCTGGAAGAACTGAGCACACTGCAGTCCCCTGTCACCTGACAAACGTCCCTGGCCTCAGTTTCCCCCTGGGGAGGCAGGACCGTGGGGGCCCTCCCACCGACCTTCTCGACCAGTGTCTGGCCAGGCAGATCCTGGCGGCCTCTCTCCCCAGGGGCAGCTATTATTAGGTCTGGCCTGGGAGAGACAGATGGTATTTCTGTCTTAGGGACAGGGAGGTCGGGGGCTCACCAGGTGTCTGCCTTTGGAGCTTCCTATCTGGGTAGGGGGCTCTTGACCAGGCCAGAGACGCCCCCTCCTGCAACACCATGTGCCCCTTGTGGCATCAGCCCAGGGGGATGCAGTCTTGTTCCCAGTATGGGCCAGTGGCCCCAGTGGAGGTTCTTTTCTCAGATTCCCAAGAAATAGGGACGCTGGAGTGGGACGTGCCTAGGACGCTCCAGGACTCAGTTTCCCTTGGTGTGCAGTGGGCAGTGTGGGCAGACCTGGCGTCCCGGGATGCCCTGCCCAGGCCTGAGGGGCTCTCCAGGGCAGAGAGGGCCAGCGCCTGCGGAGGCGCGGTAGTTCAGGCGCTGCGGATGTTTGTCCAGCACGGGGTCTGGGGAATGTCAGCACGGGTGGGGGCCGCTGGGGATCTGGGCGCGGGAGGGGCGCTGGATCTGCGCCCGCTGGCCTGCAAGGTCTGTGCCTGTGCTCCTTGCTCTGGGACTCAGTTTCCTCACCTGGCAAAGGGCAGGTGGTTGGTGGGCTTGGAGGTTCTTCATCCTGAAACTTGCAGGGGGCCGGAGACTCCAGGCGAGGGGTGCCCCCCACCGCTTGGGGAGTGTGCACTGCAGAGATAGGTGGCGTCAGAGCAACGGCAGCTGGCCCGGTGCCTCAGTTTCCCTGTCTGGGTCCTCAGGCAGCGTCGGGCAGAGGCGGGGCGGCCCCTCCGCACTCCCCCGGCCCCGCCCCTTGGCTGACCACAAAAGTCCCCGCGTCCCAGCAGCAGCCAGCCTTTGTCCTTCGCGTCCTGGCTATGCAGGGCCCTGCTGCACCAGCTGCGGCCCCCGGGTCCCCCCGGGGGTCCCCACGCAACTCCCCCGGGCTCTTCAGGAAGCTGCTGGTGAACCAGAGCATCCGCCTACAGCGCCGCTTCACGGTGGCGCATCCGCTCTGGTGAGGGCCGGTGGGGCCGTGTGTCCCCAACAGAAGGCTGGGTCCTGGGACGGCTGGAAAGGGCGGGTGGGTCTCATGCGTGCCCTTTTCCCGTCCCCTCTCCCTGGGAGGGCTGTGTCTGCCTCCGTCTGTCTCCCTCTGCCCACCGCGACACACCCAGGGGACAGAGCACAGTCCCTTCCCAGCAGCACCACCGAGCGAGCAAGACGGGCCAAGGCTCACATCTCCTTTAGGGACTGTAGCCCCTATAGGAGGAGGGGTGTCCCCAGGGCCTGGGGCTTGGCTGAGCCCTAGGTGTCCTTGGAAGGACCCCAAGTCATGGGGACATGTAGGCCAAGCATGACGCAGAGTCTGCAAGTCCACTTAGCCAGGTCCTGGTCTAAGGATGAAGTTACAGCCCTGGGTTCAAGTCCCGCCTTGGGAAGCAGCTATGACCACAGAGGTTGGAGGGAGGGGCTGGGGCGGGGCTGGCACCTGAGTTCACTTGGGTCAGATTTATACTTTGGCAGTGGCAAGTAGCACCATGCCTCAGTTTCCCCATCTTGGCAGAAGGTGCAGTTGACTCTGACTCAGTTTCTCCCCACTGACAGCGGCAGCTGACTTTCGACCTTAGCTAACCCATCTGTCCCGGTCCTCTCCATTTTCTGCTGGGCCCATAGGGACACTAAGGAACAGGAGATCCTGTCTTTAGGGTCACACAGCCAGACAACCACAGCTGGGGAAGGGGCAGACATGACTGCTCAGGCTGAAAATGGGGTGGGGGACCTCAAAGTGCTCTCCAAGGGCTGTGTGGTGGCATAGGGGCGGCTGGAAGGCACTCAGAGGACCCAAAGCTTAGTTTGAGGTCGGGTCTGCCGCAGGCTGGGCCCAAGCCCAGTTCCAAGGCCTGAGACCACCGGGTCTCCTGCCTTAGTTTACCCTTCTAGCCAATGAGCAGCCGTGCATTCTCAGCCAGGGTGGCCTCACCACCGGCTGTCCGCGTCATGGACCAACCCTGACCCCGCTGCTGCTCAGGCTAAGTTTAGAATAGAAAGAAAAACAAGACCCCTGCGCCCTGGAAAATCCAGGCCAGCCCTTAACCCTTACTGCCTTGGATTGGATTCGAACCCGGGACCCTGCAGCTGCTCCTAGCATCAGTTTCTCTATTTGTGACTACGTGCATTTTTTTGTAACCCTTGGGAAGAGGTAAGAGAAAGGGAGGGGTTGATCCACAGGTCTCCTCTGCAAGGGCAATCTTGGGGTTCCGCAGCTCGCTTAGCGCATGCCGACCTGGACTTGCCTTCCGGGCAGGGAAGGGTTAATAAGCCCCCGCTCCAGTAAACATCAAGAACCCGAAGCCGCTAGGCAAAACAGACCGAGTGGAGCCGAAGCTTCCCGAGCAAGACGGGAGGAAGCCGAATATACCGACCCAGGCCCAATGCCCCCGAAGCCGGCCAAGCCTGGCTGGACTTAACCGAAGAAGCACGAAGTCATCCGAACACAACCGGCGCTGTCGCCAGCAGCCTAAAATGGCCGAACTCGCCCCAGCTGATGCAACAGGACGGGTCCAGATCAGTGTGACCAGCCAAATCGGGCGGGCTGCCCCTGCCCATAGCCTCTCCACCCGGCTGCTCTGTGACCTTTGGAAAGGTCATGGCAGGCCTAATGGACACTGACCGTCAGCCAGCAGCGCTACGTCGTGCATGGTCCCAATTCCTCTCGGCTAGCTCGGCCCACACCTTCTCAAAAGTCAGGGACCCAGCAGGGTACGGCGGTGCACACTTATGATCCCAGCACTCAGGAGGCTGAGGCAGGAGGATCATCTCACGTTCGAGACCAGCCCGTGACCCTCCAGTTTCCAACCCCACTCCTGCTCCCTAATCCTTGCCCCACATCCTCTCGCAGACCCCAAGAGGAGGGATATAGTTTCCCCCCACCAGTCAAGCTGTGGCTGGGGAGGTAAGGCTTGGGGGCTGAATGGAGCAGGTGTGGGGCACCTGGGCAGCTCAACCTGTGCAAATGCCTGGGATGGGAGGAGCCAGGCTGGGGGTTCAAGCTGAGGAGGGCGCTGAGAACCGCGATCTGAAGGCGTGGCCACCTGGGTGGGCGTGGCCATACATCCGGGGCGGGGCCAAACTGGCTTGGGGGACTGCTGCCCTTTCCAGCCTGTAGACCTAACCAGCCCAGGGTGTCCTGCTTTCACCCCCTAAAACCTTGGGGATGGACTTTGACAGGTCCACTTAGACTTGGGGCAGTGTGGGTCCAGAAAGCTGCAGAGACAGCTCGGCGACGTCTGAACTGGGCCCTGGGACCAGGAAGACAGCCAAAGCCACCTTCTCAGACCACCTGCATCCTGAAAAGAGAAGACACCACCAGGCACCCAGCTGTGGGAGCCCTGGTCCCTGACTGCTGTCTCTCCCCTCTGCATCCAGCTTTGACTTGGACAATGGGCCTTCGTGTGGCAGGGCCGCACAGGCCCCCGGCTCACACAGCCAGCGGCGAGAGTCCTTCCTGTACCGATCGGACAGCGACTATGAGCTGTCGCCGAAGGCCATGTCTCGGAACTCCTCCACTGGCAGCGACCTGTGAGTGGGGGATGCTGGGATGCCCCTTCCTACGCTTTTCTTTGCCCCTCCCCCCCATTATTCTTCAATTCAGTAAACTCCTATGAGGCACCTTTTTCTTTTTCTTTGCTTTTTTCCTTTTTTTTTTTTTTTTTTTT